GTTTGAGACGGAAGTGAAGGAAACCGTAGAAAAGAGAGGACACAGGCTCGTGCAATGAAGCGATTTTCTCTCTCTTTTTAGGTGCGTTATATGTCAAAACGGTATCGTGTGATGCCAAAACGACGTCGTTTTGAGTAGGACGAAAATGTGAACAGTAAAAGGAAAAGTGGCTCTTTTATTGCATAGGGATATGGAGCAATAAGTGTCCTTCAAGACCACTTCCCAGCTTTGCAGTTTAAGGGTCAACGTGAATAAGACTGTATGAATTTGTAACAGAAAGACGTGTTTATTGGACTAGGGATTAATTCAAATGAAGGTAAAAATACAACCGGACAAACAAGAACACAACAAGATCAAGCCTGCAATATACTCTGAAAAAGCATTCTTCAGAAAGAAATGTTTGACACAATTTAAGAACACATTTATATTCATGTAGCTGAAATATTAGTATCAAACAAGTTCTGGGCACTTGCTTTTGTACAGGGATTTCAAAAGTGTTATAGTCAGTCCTCAATATATTTTTGAAATACATGATAAACGGAAAAGGGCAAGTTTTCCATTTCAGCTTTTATTAACATTGAAATTGAGTCTAAATTAATCTTATGTTTAATTGCCACTTTCCTTTTTGTTTTTTCAAGTAAAGAAAGAGGCATCACAGAGCTGGATCCATTAAAGAGTTGCCATATATTCCTTTAACTGGTAAATAGTGCTTGCATAAAATCAATAGAAGTGGATTACCTAATGCTGGAAGAGAAATTCTCCAATCAATCAAAAGTTCTCAATTTTCCAGGAAATACATTGCAAACTTTTGTTAATACCATCCACCTCCCTCATATCGAAAATATGACCCAGCGAACTCCCTATCAGAAGCCATATCTCATTATGCAAACTTTTGTTAATACCATCTACCTGCATTGAGTTGATAAATATCTCACAAACATCCCATCCCAGAAATCTTTAGATCAGAGACAAAGTGGAATACTCAAAAGTATTATTAGACCAGGCAAAAATAGCACTTTTAAACTGAATGCCCCAAGAGCCATGCCACATCAGTTAAACCATAGAAACCAAACATTCCAGCAGTGAGGTTCTCATAGTGTGTCCTCTTCCAAAGAATCTAAGTAACACTAAAATTAGTGATGGCAATGGGCCGAGCCGAGCCGAGCCGACTCGGCCTATTGCCCCACGAGCTCG